ACAGCCCATGCTGTTAATGTCACATTTAGATCACCAAAAAAAGCAGAGACAATAGGAATATCTTTTTTAAAGGATTTATTTATTTTAGAGAGAGTGAGCAAGCAAGAGAGTTCACAATTGGGGGAGGGGCAGAAGGAGAGGGAGAATCTCAAGTAGACTCCCCGCTGAGCAAGGAGCCCAGTGCAGGTCTCAATCCCATAACCTTGAGATCATGACCCCAGCCAAAAACAAGAGCTGGAAGCTCAACCCACTGAGCCACCCAGGCACTCCTGAGACAATAGGAATATTTCAATGGAGGACCCAAAGCTCCCAACTCCAAATAATTCTGGAAGAACCACCTCACCTAATTTGCTTGTTTTACCTTAACCTATTCATGATTATTTCAGGTATAGAAAGAAAAATATCTCTGTTCAAAGTCCCATCTGAAGATCCTGTGGTTAAAGAGGGAAAGATTGAATGTTAGACTGTTTTGTTACCCAATAATGAAACAAATATAGAAATACGAAATCTGCCAGCAGTTGACCCAGGGAGGTCAAATGCCACTCAGTCAATTCTTTTGTTCAGCTATTCCTCAAAGAGGAAGTTACACGACAGGAAAGATGTGGGGACCGAGAATCAAGGACATAGAGGAATCCCACTGTATTTCCAGTCCTGTTGTGTACAAAGCCCTTCATGTGAGGCTGCTTTCAGCTGAAGGAGAATACAAGAAGCACTCTTCATATTAGACTGATGTCATTAGGAACCCCGAAGGCAGATGGGGAAGGGGAATGGGTTGGTCCTAACTGCTCTGTCTCCGCAGAGCTTAGATTGGAGAGGAGATGGAAAAGGAAGGGAGCTCTGAGGGCTCACTCAGTCACCCAGACTCTTAAAAGAGAATTAAGTTTGGTATTGGCTAATCCAAATATGGCACCCACAATGGGTGCCCAACAAATTATAGATGCTCAATAAGTATTTAGGGAGGTGGGTTGGGGGGATGGGGTAACTGGGTGATGGGCATTAAGGAGGGCACATGACATGATGAGCACTGGGTATGATACACAACTGATGAATTACTGAACTCTACTTCTGAAACTAATGATGTACTATTTGTTGGCTAACTGAATTTAAATTTAAAAAAATAAGTATTTATTTAGTGGGTGGATGAATCAGGCTTTCATTAGAATGTCCTGGAGAACTGTGCTGGAAAGGGTACGGAGGCAGCCTCAGAGCTCAGCAGGAATGAATGGTATGACTGATGAGTGATGTCTGCCATAACGTGGAATAAGGAAGTGCAGCCTAGAGAGTCAGTGATTGTTTCTTCTTTACTGCAGTGAAAATGTCACCTTACGCCGCAGACTGTGTCCCTCAAACCTACATGTGGAAATGGCAAAGAGAAAAAAAGGAACAGAAAGGGAATAGTGGATGAGGAGAAAAAGCATTAGCAAAATTGGGAGGAAGAGGGGAGGGAAAAGTGTTAACCAAGAAAAGAAGAAAAATGGCATAGGTTGGCAAATCCTGACCTAGCTTTCAGTGGGAATATGCGGCATTTCACATGGGCCTTCTGTTTTGGCCAAGGTTAAAAGGACTCAAGGAACCACAGTGTTCTTATTTTTGAGGTCAGAATGCAAACAATCTGGCGGGAAGAACAGTCTCAGAGGGGAAGGGCTTGACAAAGCGGCTCTCCAAACATCAGCTTAGCAATCAGCTCTTCAAGAAAAGAAAATGTGGGCACTTTGTTAACTGATACCTCCTGGATTTTCCAGAACCAAATTTATTCCAGAATCTATAAAAGACATTGTTCCTCAACCCATTTTGTAACCATTTGACTGGTTTCCTGGATTCCTGCTAAAAATAAGAAAGGGATTGGTCCCCGCAAACACAGCCAGGGTTTCCTGCCCGTGTCAGACCGCAGGTGATATGCAGAAGTAGGAAACAGCTAGACCTGCCCCAAGCTCACACAGAACTGAACCTCAGATGTGAATCATGGTTTGGCTCAGAAGGTTGCACGTGCTCAAACTGAGAAAGAAAGCAGACGTGGGACTTCCCTCTTGCCTCTTTCTGGAGGAAGTGAAATCACACTTCTGCAGCACTGAGGTATATCTTTTGCATAAAAGTGGCCTTTTTCTTTTAGAGACCAACATTCGGGTTTTTAGGCCCTTGAGAGTAGCCATCTGGAGAGTTTCTGCGATTGCATATGCATTTCAGCATGAGAAAAAGCAGAGGAAGTTGCCAGTGAGCAGAATAAAGCAGGAAAGGAATGTGTGACACCCCCATAGTCAAGGTCTCATGGCCACTTCCTCACACCTGACCCCCATGAGCAGCAAGTCCTGCCGGCAGCACGCAAATTTAAGTTGTGCTGGAATTCCCATCATTCTACACTTCTCTTTGCATTGTTTCTCCATGAATAGAAAAGAGAACTTCCTTGAACATAGCAATCGCAGGCTTCACGTCATTTCAGGTATATGGAAATTCCAAAAATAATTTGTTTCTTTTGTGTTTAAAATGCATTTTCATTGCTTATTTTCCTGAGTACAAAAGCGATGATTATTCCATACCCATCCCTGTGTTTGCTACTTAGTAGATTCTCACTAAAAATGTGTCAGATGAGTAAAGATATGCTCCTTGTTGAAAACTCCAAAAATACATGAAAGTGAGAGGGAAAAATTTAAATCATCTATAAAACCTACTAGCTGGATACCATCGCTGTCAATGAGTTGGTGTATATCTCTCTTGTGATATATATGTGTACATGGTGGAGGTCACACTGTCTATCATGCTTTTATCACTTAACATTATGGCGTAAGAATTTCTTATGTTAGTAAAATTTTTTGAAAATATAGTTATGTATAACACCCAGTGCTATACACAACTAATGAATCATTGAACACCACATCAAAAACTAATGATGTACTATATGTTGGCTAACTGAATGTAATATTAAAAAAATAAAAATTAAAAAAGACCTAATTACAAGATAAAAAAAGATAAAATAAAGCAAATATAGTTATGATGGTTGTAAAATATTTTGTCATATGGATGCAATATAATTTCCCTCCTGCTGGCTCTTTTAGCTATTTTCCACTTTTTGCCTCGGTAGAAATGAAGAAGACTATCCAAACAACAGGACAACTTGTGTGCGTTCAGAGATATAGTAACACCTGTATAGAGAATGATCTATATTTGCCTTGCTTTTATTCTCATTGCAGAAGAGTGAGAAAGCAACAGGATCTGTTAACAGGTAAACAAAAAGTAAGAAACTGTCAGCATGTCTCCAAAACCGGGTAAGTATGAGAGTTTTCTCATGATGATGAACTAGCCCTGCGACAGTCTGACAAGCAGTGTGTGGGGATTTTAATAGACTTATTGTAAGTACTCGAGGGCACCAACTTCTAATTTTTCTAGTGGTCAAATCACTCTACTGAGCTACAAATTTATAACTAACTCATTTATAAATTAGCCAGGACATCCTGTGCACAGGCTTGCTTCTCTGGCCAAATATAAACCGGACACTGGCTTATACATTAATCCCTCCCCGATATAAGTAGATTCCTCCATACATCATAACCTAGCCATAAATAAACCCAGAACATCACCAAGGTTTTAATAAGAGTGAGTTCCACCTGTGAACCTGGACAACTGGTCTATTTCTATCTGAAAACACCTTTCACTGCATCAGGGGCCGTATGCCGCCATTCAGTTCCCTGAAAACTTTTCCCAGGTTGCATACAGGTGATAGTGTCGTGATACCTGTAAACTGAAACATGATGTTTTCAGCCTCAGCACTGCATCTGGTTCGTGGTAAGATCTGGGGGGGGGGCATGAGGGTACCATTGGGAGCTTCGTTAATTGCTTTGGATTATTTGGCTACCACTGAATGTACTAAGATGCTCCCTAGTGGTCTTAAAGTAGTGATGGAGCTGGGCTTTGATGAATCCTGTACTAGATCAATGGGTCTGGAAACACTCTTCGAAATTACGGGGTCTAATAGGCACAGAAGGAAATTCATGAAATTATGTTCTCCTAACGATAGAACAAATGAATTGTTGCTTTAAAAGAATGAGTAATAAAGAGGCACATTCTTTTTTACGCACCTATACTGAGTACATGAACTTAGCAGCAGAACAAAAAATTAAAGATGTAACAGCAGGTACCCACTTATTGCCAACAGTGTACACACACACACACACACAGAGGATGTATAAGTGTGTATATACAAACACAAATATTCCTTGGCCACTGTCTGCTTTGCATCAATCAAAATCTAGATTAGAGTGTGGATTTTCTCTTTGCTTAAACATTTCTACATGGAAGGAAACAACACAGTGTGCGGATCACTTGCTTTTACTCTGAATGCTGAGGGCAGTACGCACTGAGGTTTCCAGCGTGTAGCAAAACGGAGTCCTCTTCAGGTCTCTACAGCTCTGTCTCAGGTAATGGCACCTCCAAAGCCTGGACTATTAGGCTTGTGACAGTGAAACTCCACAGGACTTGTGTCCAAGATTTTCACTCCTTTCTCGTGTGTGAACCGCCCTCCCCCTCAGGTGAATGGGAACCCAGGCCTTGGCCTTGACCTACCGTGAGCCTAGGTAAGGTGGAGGCGGGGTGTCTCAGCAACGCTGATGTTGCCATTCACCTCTGCATTTACAGTAAAAGGAAACTGATACTGGAGTCCCGAGAGAGACGTCAAGGAAAATTTGAAACATCAGAGCAAAACATGAAACCAAACTTTCTTTCAAAGCCGGACATCTCCCGTGAAGGAAGCAGTAAGACATGTGGTCGCCCTTTTTCTGAGAGCCCACTGCTGCTGCAGTCACTAGCCTGGGTCTGGGGGGTGGGGTGGGGGGGAGTTACGGGAGTTACCTGTTCAGGATATAGGGCTGCGTTTGCATATCTAGTACAACATGATTTTCTTCAAAGTCCTGATGGGCCCTAGTACTCCGATAGACTTTCATTTCCTTATTTGGCAATTAGATTAGCCTAAAGAGGAACTGGTGGCATTAGAACCGTTGTATGTGTTTGTCTCAGCAGCTGCCTTCTTTCCCATCTGTTCAGTTTGCACCAAGCTCTCTGGCTGCGACTTAGGGCTGGCGTGTGGCTGGGGCTGTCTGAGCCATGAACAGCCTCAGGGGTGCTATCCTCTTCTGGGCAGTAGTAGTGTGGGCTAAAATGGACAAGCCTTTGGGAGAAACAAATGAGGCTGGATTTCAAAAATGCAAGAATGCCTTAAAACTACCTGTTCTAGAAGTCTTACCCGGAGGGGGCTGGGATAACCTGCGGAATGTGGACATGGGACGGGTGATGGACCTGACTTACAGGAGCTGCAGGACCACGGAGGATGGACAGTACATCATCCCCGATGAAATTGTCAGCATCGCCCAGAAACAGAGCAACCTAGAGATGAACTCCGAAATCCTGGAGTCCTGGGTGAATTACCAGAGCAGTACCTCCTTCTCTATCAACTTGGAGCTTTCCCTTTATTCCAAGGTCAATGGCAAATTCTCCTCTGATTTCCAGAAGATGAAGACCCTTCAAGTGAAAGACCAAGCTATAACTACCCGGGTTCAGGTAAGAAACCTGATCTACACGGTCAAAATCAACTCAGCTTCAGAACTAAGCTGGAGGTTTAAGAAGGAGCTCATGGACATCTCTGACCGCCTGGAGAACAACCAGACGCGGATGGCCACCTACCTGGCAGAGCTTCTGGTCCTCAACTATGGCACCCACATCATCACCAGTGTGGATGCTGGAGCTGCTCTCATCCAGGAGGACCACATCAGATCCTCATTCTTACAGGACAGCCAGAGCAGTCACACTGCTGTGACCGCGTCCGCTGGGATTGCCTTCATGAACGTCGTGAACTACAAATTTGAAGAGAACTACACGTCGCAGAGCGCCCTCACCAAGAGCTATCTCTCAAACCGAACCAACTCCAGGGTGCGAAGCATCGGAGGGGTTCCTTTTTACCCAGGCATCACCCTCCAGGCCTGGCAGCAGAACATCACCAACAACCTGGTGGCCATAGACCGCGATGGCCTGCCTCTGCATTTCTTCATCAACCCTGACATGTTGCCTGAGTTGCCAGGGCCCTTGGTGAAGAAGTTGTCCCGGACGGTGGAGGCTGCCGTGAGGCACTATTACACATTCAACACCTACCCTGGATGCACAGATGTCAATTCGCCCAACTTCAATTTTCAGGCCAACACTGATGATGGCTCTTGCGAGGGGAAAATGACCAATTTCTCCTTCGGAGGAGTTTATCAGGAATGCACCCAGCTGTCAGGGAAGGAGGTTGCCCAGCTCTGCCAAAACTTGGAGCAGAAGAATCCCCTCACTGGTGATTTCTCCTGCCCCTCTGGCTACTCCCCAGTCCACCTGCTGTCCCAGATCCACGAGGAGGGTTACAACCACCTGGAGTGTCGACGGAGATGCACCCTCCTCATCTTCTGCAAGACGGTGTGTGAAGATGTGTTCCGGGTGGCAAAGGCTGAATTTAGGGCTTTTTGGTGCGTGGCGGGTGGCCAAATACCAGAACACTCAGGACTGCTTTTCGGGGGCCTCTTCACTGGTAAGAGCATAAACCCTTTGACAAATGCACAGTCCTGCCCGGCTGGCTATTTTCCACTGAGACTTTTTGAAAACCTCAAGGTATGTGCCTCTCAGGACTATGAGTTGGGATATAGGTTTTCCGTCCCCTTTGGTGGGTTCTTTAGCTGTGCAGTCGGAAACCCCTTGGCAAATTCTGCCATAGCCGAAGATTTAGGGGCACCTTCTCTAAAAAAGTGTCCCGGGGGCTTCAGCCAACACCTGGCCCTCATCAGTGATGGTTGCCAAGTGTCCTACTGTGTCAAGGCTGGGCTTTTCACAGGAGGGGCTCTGCCCCCTGCCAGGCTCCCACCTTACACCACGCCACCCCTCATGAGTCAGGCTGCCACCAACACTGTCATCGTGACAAATAGCGAGACGGCGAGTTCCTGGATTAAAGACTCCCAGACCCACCAGTGGAGGCTGGGGGAGCCGTTAGAGCTGCGCAGGGCCATGGGGGTCATCCGTGGGGACGGCAGTGGTCTGTCGGGAGGGGCAGCAGCTGGGGTCACAATGGGGGTCACCACTGTCCTGGCAGCCGCCATTGCCCTGGCCGTCTATGGCACCCGGAAGTACAAGAAGAGGGGCTACCAGGCATTGGGGGACGAGAGGCAGAGTTTGGCGGCGGGCTCTGCAGAGACGGGGGGTGCCCCTGACCAAGAGCAGGAGCAGAGTCCAGCCTAAATCTCTCCCGGGAAACATCTCTCTCGTCTCTGCAAGCATGCCTTTCATCCCTTCACTCTTCACTTCTCCCCTCTTGAGGACTGGCGTGGCAGGTGCAAGAAAAAGCAGGTATAACTTTGTGACTTCCTTAGGGCTCCCGGCCATGAAGTGAACAGAGCTGCGTGGACAGGGTTGGGGTGGGGTAGGAGAGCCAACGTGACTTTTTAAACCAAAGTCATCATGGGGGCTAAAACACGAAGGGGGTATCTTTTCTCTGTGTGCATCGTTGATTATCTTCACCTGAATACATACGGGAGAAAAGAGAGGGGGGAGCACGTTGACCTTTGGATTTGGAGACCATGCTTTTAATCTGAGATTGGCCACTGTTTCCAGTTCACGAGCTGTAAGACTTTCTGTCTGTAAGTGTTACCCTCCTACTGTTTTGATTTTTTAAAAATCTCTCTGGAGTTCATGGTCCTGGAGGCTGAAAGTTCTGCCAGAAGATACGGGAAGTCCTGCATGGCCACTGATTTTCACTGTTGAGGGCTCTGTACTGATGGACGGGGTCCTCTCAAGCTCATCTGAACAGCAAGCTGTTGTCTCTACTAAGTCCGTGTTTTCCAGCCTTCCAGCCGCAATCCAGACTCACTCAGACCAGGTCACTCTTGGACTTCAGACTAAGTGTCATAAAGTCCTCAAAAAAATATTTTAACTTATAATCTTCTATTAGGAGGTCAAGAGAGAAGGGATGGTTTGGAGACAAGGCATAAGTTAAAAAAAGGGTGAGAACTGGACAAGATCCTGGCACTCAGGGGAAACTGGTTACCCTTCACCACCTCCCTGGCTTATGGAGCTGCAGATTGGGGTAGAACAAGCATTACAGTTTCCTGGGCTCTGTTACCAGAGTACTACCCCTGCTTTGTCCATGAGGGGCCCTTCCCCTTTCTGTCCTCACATCACGTGTACACCCCCCCAAACACACAGGTGTGCACCCTCCGAACACCCCCCCAAACATACACACATACTCCAAACACATGTGTGCACACACCCCCCCCCCACCCTCTCCCCACACACCACATTCCAACAAGAAGTCTGCATTTTTCTAGGGGCAGGAGACTAAGCCCACACCTAAGTATTATTTCCTCCCTAAAACAAAACAGAGCAGAACCTACCAATTATGTACCCTACCTTTGTCTTTTTTTTCCCCCAGCAGAAAAGGGCCTGACATGATCAAATCTATGTTTTTAAATGAAACAAAAAAGGCATCCGACACCATTTGTGATACATTTATTTCAGTTCCAGGCTGACCTCCCTCAGGCACGCAGCAGGATGCATGAGTATTTCCTGGCATTTGGGGCTTTGCGCAACTTTCTTTCTTTCTTTTTTCTTTTTTTTTCTTTTTTTTTGAGGGGGGAGTCTTGGCCCAATTTTTATACCAATCTCACCGAATTGTAATGATTAAGGTGAGTCTATTACTACTTCTCCACGACATTAAAAAAAATTTTTTTTTATTAAGTAAATTCTACTCCCAACGTGGGGCTTGAACTCACAAACCTTGGGATCAAGTGTCACATGCTCTACGCACTGAGCCAGCCAGGCGCCCCTTCTCTACAACATTTTTAATAGTTACATATCTCCTCACTGAATCAGATGCCACGAGTGAGTTAATTTTTATGAAGGATAATCTGTCCTCACTTCGTTAACATTCACAATCACGAGTTTAGGCTTACATAAATCCTTCTGAGGAGCCTGCAGCATCCCAGCCTGTGGGAGGATGGGAAGGAGGCTACTCGTTCATCTCACCCTCACACTCACACTCACACTCATCCCCGACTGCCCAGCTGCCAACACTGATTTCTGCAACCTCGTCTCTGAACCCTGCCACTTAAGCATTAAAATATTCTCCTAAACCTCTGGGGGTTTTGTGGGTAAATTTCAGCTGAACCACTTTTTTGCAAATTCCCCCATGAATTCCTTGAAGACGACTGAGTCAGAGAGACAAAGTACGGCTAAGGGCTTTTGGACTTTTAATGCTAACCGCCCTTTGAAATAAAAGTTCTTCACAAACTTACATTTCTAACAAAATTATGCATAAGTATGCATTAAAATGTGTACTTAAGAAACACGCCGTCTGACTGCTCATCCACAGGAAATGAAAATGCGGGAGTTTGCAGTTTTCGGGTCATTTTGCAAAGTCAGAACCCAGAGCGGGAATTTCACAGGCTCTGCTGTCTTGACCCAGGAGCTCAGGCTGGGCTCTGTGGGAAGATGAACCCCAGCTTCGTGAAAACAACACTCTCTAGACTCTCAGAAATAGAGACACATTTGGGTGATCAGGGCAGCTTTGCATTTGCATTTTGTGTTCCTGTTAGTGTCGGGATGATTAATACTAAGTATTTATTTGAGAAACAACAGGCTGCAAATTACTGAAACATACGCTACATAGTAGTCAGGTGGAGGGAACTGTAAGAAACATTCTTGTTTTTTAAGGCGGTCTTTCCCACATAGATTCACATTTCCCCCATCGTGGCCGTGCGTGCGGTCTAGATCTTGAGAGGAAAAAGAAGTCAAGCCGAGTCCCTTGGTCAAATGTGTGGGTGGAAAAGATCTGCGGGGGAAAGAGAGAAAAGGGACTGCCCCAGCCCATCTTGGGGCTTGTGGTTGCTTACAGGTCGGGGAGGTGCCCCAAATGCCTCACATCTGTAAAAAGCAGAAGGTTAACAGCAATTTGCGGTTGTTCACTTGCCATTTATTGTTCTGCACATACACCTCATGAGCACCAGGTGGCGATGTCCTCTCACAGAGCAACACCAAGGAGTTCAAAACACACCAAAGATTTACGTTAGGACATTCGCCTTCCCTCTCCCAGAAAACCCCCACTCAATTGCCAGTGATCACAGACAAGAAAAGGGGACAGGGCCCTTTCTTGTACCACACGGGGCCTGCCTCCTACCCTCTCATGCACACAACAGTGCAATAACAGGACGAGTACTTTTGACCAAGTGTAAAACCACAGAGAAGTCCAAGTTTTACAAAAAAGGTAGAGGAAAGGGTATGAAACACAAAGGCACACACAACCACATATACACAAGTAACCTTTAAGGGATGCGCATGTGACAGAGTTTGTCCTCAATCCCATTTGTCATCCCTGGAGACTCAGGAAGGGAGAACGTAGGCTGCTGGTGCATGAAAGGAAAGGCATGGGATTCCCCTCACGGGCCAGGAGACACAGCGGGAACAGCAGTGGTGGGAAAACATCCTATGTTGGAGGGGTGGGTGCTCAGGACCCTTGCTGGCAGGGTTCTCACTGAGCCCGAGACTGTGCCTTTCCAGGCTGGCACAGAAAAAGGGCAAAGGGACACCCCCGCCTTGCCTGGCACAGTGTTAGAAAGCAGATTCAAGATCCCTTCTGCCTAGAAAGCCCCCCAGAGGAACAGCATTAGGATGAGGTCGCGCCTATGGAGCATCCTCAGGGAGGAAGAGACCCCGGGGCACAGACATAGTCAGCATCTTCGACAGGGAAGTCTTGAAGGTATGAAGACTTGCTCTCAAAGTGGTATTGCCCCTGGCTCCCTGCCTGGTCCATCCTCAGTCCTCTCCCTTCCTCGCTCAGCTGTCCCCTGCCCCGCCCATCCCTTCTTCTGCCTGCTGCAGGGAAACCAGCCTTTCCCCGCTGACCACTGCCAGTTGTCAGAGTGTATTTTCTTCCTCTCCCCACCTACTCCACAGCTGTGTGTTTCTACCCACTGACCCTCAATCTGTTTCCCGATCCCTGTGGGTGAGAAGCTCAGCAGACACTTGACCCAGGTCTCCTGCTGAAGGTGGAGATGGTACTAAGTCTACAGTGAGGCTCTTCAATGATCTCTGGTACACGGTAGCCGGGCAGAGGGCACAGGGTGTGATATTAAACACCGCGGTGATGTCCCTTCCACTGAGTTCATATGTTTCCTCCCTGACTGTGGCAGGAAACTGTACCCTGTGGTGCAGTGAACTCAGGTCCAACGTCCTGGTCCACTGGTGAGATAAGATGGTGGCCGGCTGACGGGAGAAACTGGACCTAAGGTGTCACAGGAACAAGAACTCCCTCTGCTGGAGCCAGTTAGCATCCTGATAGCCATTTGGAGAATGAGGAAAGGCTCAGCACCAGCATGTCTCAAGGAACTGGGTGACACTCAGGGGAATCCACTGGCCACATGAACGTCAAAACGGCTGTGGGTGAACAGCAAGCAGCTATGGAGCCAGTTCGCAGGAAAGCCTGGCTTCAGGTTCTAACTTAAGTACCATTTCTGAAGGTTCTTTTGTTTCAATTTTCTAGCATCAAAAACTTTCCAAATATTATGAAATATATATGGATATATATACGTCAAACCCCCAAAACGTGAGGTATATAAATTCAAATTAATATCCAGAGGAACTTCCCTCAAACATATAGTTCAAAGAACCCACTTTCAAAGGGGGAATCGGGTTTCCCTTCTTGATCCCCCTTCTGTCCTCCCTGACCCCCAATTCATTCCTTACGGGAAGTGAAAAGCAAGAGGGATGCTGGAGAGGGGACAGAGTCTTGGGACACAACCCAAATGTAGGTTGGACTGGACCATGATGTGGTCCCAACCCTGTTAGGAATGAGCTAAAAAGTCTCCCTCCATGCTCTAGGTCAATCTGTAATAGACGAAGGGCCCAGCACCACCTCTGAGCTCTGATTAGCAAATGTACATGGAGACAGATCAAAGCCCTCATAGAAACAAGACTGGATGAATTGGTTAGATCCAATCTTGAAAGGGATATAAAAAGGGGTCAGTCCAGCCCTCACCTTACACTTCTTCACAAGCACAGTTCCTTGGGGCATCTGGCAAGATGCATGATCGTTACCATCTGGGTCCAAGTTTTCTATGGGATGGGTTGCAAAGGGTGAGGAAAGTTAAGGAACCACAGCCTGATGGTTTGATCCCCATCAGAACTGGAGTTTGACAGTTTGCAAAACAGAATGGGAGAACAGAATGGGACTGTCCACCAACCTGGCCCAGTGGTGCACACGCGCACACACACACACATATGCACGTACACAGAC